AATTCTAAAAAAATTCCAGAAATTCCCAGAAATCCCTACCTTGATCTCTCACTCACCTTGATGGTGCTGAGGTCCATGGGGTGCTTGATGATATCGTGATAATCGTGCAGCCCCAGCGCCGACGCGTCCACGGGTTTGTACAACCAAAACCCCAAAAAGTCCCCCAAAAAATCCCAAAATTCCCTAAAAATTGCAAAAAACACCTAGAAAATCACTAAAAAAACCCCAAAAACCTCCAAAAATCCACTAAAAAAATTCCCCTAGAAAACACTAAAACATTACAAAAAACCCCTTAAAAATCCCTTAAACCACCGGAAAAATCTCAAGAAACGCCAAAAAAATCCCAAAAAAATCCTTAAAACATAAAAAAAATCCCTAAAAAATTACAAAAAAATCCTAAATAAAAAAATCCCCCAAAACCACCAAAAAATTCCCATAAAAAGCTCTAAAAATGCCCCAAAATATCTCAAAAAATCACTAAAAAACACCCTTAAAAAATAAAAAAAACCTTAAAAAAAGCCTAAAAAATTCCCAAAAAATCCTAAAAAAATCCCAAAAAATCCCAAGAATTCCCAAAAAATTCCAATAAAAATTTCTCACTCACCTTGATGGTTCTCACTCACCTTGATGGTGCTGAGGTCCATGGGGTGCTTGATGATATCGTGATAATCGTGCAGCCCCAGCGCCGACGCGTCCACGGGTTTGTAGAAGGGCCAGGCGTACGCCGCGTGTTTCTTGGACAACAATTCCTTCAGGATGCCGTTACAATATTTCAACTGCTCCGAAAGTTTCCCTTTCTTGGAAGTTTGGTGCTGTTGGGAATCTGGGAGATCTTTCCTGGGGGGTTTGATGGGTCGGCCGCTCTCGCGTCGCGCCGGGATTTTGGCGGCTTTGGGGTTTTCGGGGATGGAAGGGGAGGATTCGCCGCCGCTGGTGGCGATGATGGCGGTGGTTGTTGGGGTGGTGGTGTCGGCTTTCCGCTTGACGCCTTTTTTCTGGGATAAAATGGGATTTTTTGGGGATGTTGGAATGGTGGGGGGAGGTGGAGGTTGTTCTAGAGTTCTGTGTCGGTGTTTCAAATGTTGTTTCAGGAGGCAAAATCTTATTTCGGTGTCCCAAAATCCCATTCCAGGAGCCAAAATCCCGTTCCAGGACCCAAAATCCCATTCCAGGAGTCAGAATCCCATCCCAGTGCTCCAAAATCCCACTCCAGGACCCAAAATCCCATTCCAGGAGCCAAAATCCCATTTCAGTGTCCCAAAATCCCATTCCAGGAGCCAAAATCCCATTCCAGGATCCAAAATCCCACTCCAGTGCTCCAAAATCCCATTCCAGGAGTCAGAATCCCATCCCAGTGCTCCAAAATCCCACTCCAGGACCCAAAATCCCGTTCCAGGACCCAAAATCCCACTCCAGTGCTCCAAAATCCCATTTCAGTGCCCAAAATCCCGTTCCAGGAGCCAAAATCTCATTCCAGTGCTCCAAAATCCCACTCCAGTGCTCCAAAATCCCATCCCAATCTTCCAAAATCCCATTTCAGTGCCCCAAAATCCCGTTCCAGGACCCAAAATCCCATTCCAGGAGCCAAAATCTCATCCCAGCATCCCAAAATCCCACTCCAGTGTCCCAAAATCCCATTTCAGTGCTCCAAAATCCCATTCCAGGACCCAAAATCTCATTCCAGTGTTCCAAACCTATTCCAAAACCCAAAATCCCACTCCAGGGTTCCAAAATCCTGTTCCAGCATCCCAAAATCCCATTCCAGGACCCAAAATCCCACTCCAACATTCCAAAATCCCACTCCAGTGATCTGAATCCCATTCCAGGACCCAAAATCCCATCCCAGTGTCCCAAAATCCCGTTCCAGGACCCAAAATCCCATCCCAGTGTCCCAAAATCCCGTTCCAGGACCCAAAATCCCATCCCAGTGTTCCAAAATCCCATCCCAGTGTCCCAAAATCCCGTTCCAGGACCCAAAATCCCATCCCAGTGCCCCAAAATCCCATTTCAGTGTCCCAAAATCCCATCCCAGTGTTCCAAAATCCCATCCCAGTGTCCCAAAATCCCATTCCAGGACCCAAAATCCCATCCCAGTGCCCCAAAATCTCATCCCAGGACCCAAAATCTCATCCCAGTGCTCCAAAATCCCATCCCAATCTTCCAAAATCCCATTTCAGTGTCCCAAAATCCCATTCCAGGAGCCAAAATCTCATTTCAGTGTCCCAAAATCCCATTCCAGGAGCCAAAATCCCACTCCAGTGCTCCAAAATCCCATTTCAGTGCCCCAAAATCCTGTTCCAGGACCCAGAATCTCATTCCAGGACCCAAAATCTCATCCCAGTGTTCCAAACCTATTCCAGGACCCAAAATCCCACTCCAGTGTTCCAAAATCCCATTCCAGGACCCAAAATCCCACTCCAGTGCTCCAAAATCCCACTCCAGTGTTCCAAAGTCCAATTCCAGGACCGAAAATCCCATTCCAGGACCCAAAATCCCATCCCAGTGTTCCAAACCTATTCCAAGACCCAAAATCCCACTCCAGGGTTCCAAAATCCCATTTCAGTGCCCCAAAATCCCGTTCCAGGACCCAAAATCCCATTCCAGGAGCCAAAATCCCGTTCCAGGACCCAAAATCCCATTCCAGGTTTCCAAAATCCCACTCCAGTGCTCCAAAATCCCATTCCAGGAGTCAGAATCCCATTCCAGAACCCAAAATCCCATTCCAGAACCCAAAATCCCATTCCAGGAGCCAAAATCCCATTCCACAAGTCAGAATCCCATCCCAGTGTTCCAAAATCCCATCCCAGTGTCCCAAAATCCCATCCCAGTATCCCAAAATCTCATCCCAAAATCCCAACTCCCAATCCCACCACCCCAAATCTCCCCAATTCCCACCCAAAATTCCCAAATCCCCCTCAACCCCTGGAATTCCCATCCAGAAATACCCAAATCCCCTCAATTCCAACCCGGAATTCCCAAATTTCCCCCAATTCCCATCCAAAATTCCCAGATTTTCCCCCAATTCCCACCCAGAATTCCCAAATCTCACAAACCC